ATCAAGATTACCTTCCTACCCTCCTCGGACCAAAATGATAACAGGGCTGTCAGACCATAATATGGTGCTTATTTCTAGAAAATTAACGAGCAAACGATTTACTACACATGCCAGTAATAATAAGGGATTCTTTGGTATTTAAAAAAAATAAGCAAAACGAGTTTAAATCAGCAATAGAAAATATGAATTGGGAAGATTTGGTATCATCTAATATAGGTTTATCTAGTTCTTTTTAGATAAATCTTTATCTAATTCTTTTTTTTTTAGAATTATCTAGTCAGATCTTTACAGAAAAGATACAATCTACAATCAGTGAATTTTCAATCAAGATGAAACACAATTACATGAAATAGTCCCTTCCCTGGGTTATATGACAATATTTTAAAAAATTAATGAAGGAAAGGGATAATGCTCTAAAATTAGCAACAAGATCAAAGATGGTTCATGATATAAATTTGTAATGTTAAGAAATAAGGTAGTAAGAGCATTAAGGAAAGCAAAGGCAGATTTCTTTATCACAATTATTGAAAACGCTCATGGTAACTCAAAAATAATATGGAGACAGATTAAAAAACTGAGTGGTCTAAAGAATATTAAAACAAGTCCAACTGAATTAAAGATTAATGATACATTTCTACAGAGCCCGATTGATGTGGCACAGGCCCTTAATCACTATTTTTTTTGAGTCAGTGGATAAAATAGCCCAAAGTTTTACTGTACAACAACCTAATCTACAAACAATTAATGCAAGTGACACAGCTGTAGTCTTAAGACCAGTAACTAAGTTAGAGGTTGAGCCATGTCACTGAGGTCCTCAAGGGCAAAGGATATTTATGGTATGGATACACTCTTACTAAAAGAAATTAGTTCCTCAATTGTCAACCCTCTAACACATATCATTAATAGTTCAATAAATCAAGGGATATTCCCTAGTTCTTGGAAACCAGCGGTTGTGGCTCCTATATTTAAGGGAGGCGACGTTCGCTTACCTTGTAATTATAGGCCCATCCTATCCTACCTATACAACGCATTCTCACCCCAAGGCGTCACCTTTGACCATGCTTCAATATTTGACATTTTAGGCGCCCTTTAGCGTCACTTACATGACGCGATCCTACGGCGTCATCTAACTGACGCTAAAGGAAAGCGTCAGTTAAGGGACGCGGTTAGGTTTAGGTGTGGGGTGGGGGTAGGGTACACGCGATCCTAGGGCGTCATCTAACTGACGCTAAAGGGCGCCTAAAGCGTCAGCTATTGAAGCATGTCCAAATGCTTCCCAAGGCGTCAGTTAAGTGACGCCTTGGGGGTGAGAATGGGCTGACCTATAATATCACAGCTATAATACCTATAATATATATAATATATAATATATTGACCTATAATAACCATAAGTAACCTGTTTAACTGGGAAAATCTAATCAAATTTAAAAATGTTTGTTTAGGATTATACATTGTTTGGCTCCACCTCCTTTGGCAGATTTTATTAAATCTAAATCTGTTGAAAACAGAATTACAAGAGGTGCAATTAGAGCGGATTGTATAATTCCACGTAGGAAAACATCGTTTGGTCAAGCTGTTTTCTCATACAAAGCTTCACATCAGTGGAATACTATACCTCAACCAATTAGAGAGTGCTCATCATTTAACTCTTTTAAGCTTAATCTTACTAAATGGCTACTTCATAAGCAACAATGTGAACATTAACACTGCTGCTCTATTATTATTATTATTCCTAACCTTATTATTCATTTTATTATAGACCTATTCATTCATATTTAACAAAAATATTTTTAATTTCTATTTTTTGTTTAATTGTGTCTATATATATATATATATATATATATATATGACGCCCTAGGATCGCGTGTACCCTACCCCCACCCCACACCTAAACCTAAACCGCTTTCCTTTAGCGTCAGTTAGATGATGCCGAAGACGCTAAAGGACGCCTAAAGCGTCAAATATTGAAGCATGGTCAAAGGTGACGCCTTGGGGTGAGAATGCGTTGCTATATATATTGTCTTTTTGTATACTTACTGTTGTGTTGCTGTAATGTTTAATTCTTTTTAGAGCCTAATAACATCTGGCAAAGGGACTACCAATGAAAACTAGCCTTCGGGCTAATTTGGGTACATTTACATTTAAGAATGTTTGAAGAGTTCAGATGCAAAAGCCTCTAAGTGCCATTTGAAATTTTCTTATAGAATGATCATTTTTATCAAGCTTGTATATTTAAGTTCAGTGATTTCACTTAAATGGCAATGATAATTACCTATTAATTGTTATTTAAGTGAAATTACTAAACTCAAATATACAAGTTTGATAAAAATCATCATTAAAGAAGAAAATTTCAAATGGTATTTAGAGGCTTTTGCGTCTGAACTCTTCGTTTATTAATGTACACTGTCCCTTTTCTAAATAAATAAATAAATAATAAAATAATAATCCAGTGACACAGATAAATACCCAGCAATAATTTCAATCAAAACTTTAAATATATTTACATATTGATGTCCCGTCTCCACTAATTTCAAAATCAAACCTAAGCCACTGCCTCAGATTATTTAGATGAGTACCTGCGGGTATTAGGACTGGAGAGGTGTATTGGCCCTATTCACAGTCGGGGTGATAATTTTGTAGTTTGCCGCACAACAAATGCCATGGCCACTCAGTTTGTGCAAAATCCTGCAGGGATCATGTTCCCTACTGGAGTGGCGACTCCAGACCATGGGATTACATCGCTAAAAGTACCGCGTCTGACAAAGCTCAAAGCTGAGAAATTCTGTCCGGTAGCTAACAGCAGTCATTGAACATTAGGCCCTAGGAAGCTGACTCCACCCGCTCTGAAAGAAGTGCCAAGAACAGTTACTGTCCAAGAGAGCATTCAAGAGAGGGTTTCTAGAGCACAGAGGAGGGATGCTGCTTGGCTCTGTCAGCTCCCTTCTAATCCTCTTCCCCTGGACTGGTCGGCCTATGTGTTGTGCAAGATCGTCACAGTGATGAAGGTGTGTCTAGAATGATGACTATAAGTGTCTTTGGACCATTGCTCGACTCACCTCCTGCTCATCCTTATACAGTGGGAGCCAAGCTGCTTGAGTGATGTGTCCAGGTATATAATGTTACAAAGCCATTAGACAAATCACATAGCAGCTTGGCATGAGCTGTCATATAACATGTGACATGCAGTACAAGATTGCTTGCCCCACAGCGATGGGCATCTGTGTTGCTCAGCCCTGGAATGATGCACACCGTGATGTCATTCATTGGCTTAATTGGGGAGCTGATGAATTCAACAGGCCTTGAGGAGCTGGTAGGTGCATCATTTGGCGGCCTGGCATCTATAAGCTATTCAATGGAAAGACCTGGCCTATAAGGCCATGCGAGGAGGATCAGCAGATACTGGAATTCCTGGAAAAGGCAAGACAGCACCCAACAGGCCAATTATGGGTGGATTGCTTTATCACTCCCACCTTAATAGCACGATTCTGGCGAGCAGAGAGGGAGGGTGACTGGCTGCTGCAACAACATTTCCTTGAAAAGATGCTATCCTATTTTTTTGCTGCTGGTCTTCACCACTATGCTAGATGGATCACTTGGCATTTATGTGAAATGCAGCACCTTCCTTCCATTGCAAAAGATGACCTTCTTGCCGGGAAGTCATGTGTGCCGCTATTCAGATGGTGCACCTGCAGTGAGTGCCGATATGTTTGGAGAGCAGGCATACATGAGGCAAGGGAAGCGAGCAGGGGGCATGAATGGTATTTCAACCATCCCTGAGCAGGTTGCAGTTTGGATCCAATTGGCATATGTTCACATCATGTCCGTGGTAAGCAGAATTACTTTCAAAGCACTTTGGCTATGTCACGACTGTATAGGAAGCCATTTACACATTATTTCCACATCTGCATATTTGACGGTTACCGGTGCAATTTACTAGAACTGTAATGTTTTCCGCCAAAATAAAAGCCCCCGAACCACCCTGTAGAGGGACAGAGGTCCACTCACCACAGCTTTACAAAAACTTCACCTAACTGACGCCTTGGGAAGCATTTTGACCATGCTTCAATATCTGACACTTTAGGAACCCTTTAGCGTCAGTTACAGTATATATGACGCACTAGGATCGCGTGTAACCCTACCCCTACCCCAGACCTAAACCTACCCGCGTCATCTAACTGTCGCTTTTCCTTTAGCGTCAGTTTGATGACGCCGTAGGATCGCGTGTAACCCTACCCCGACCCCAGACCTAAACCTACCCGCGTCATCTAACTGACGCTTTTCCTTTAGCGTCAGTTAGATGACGCCGTAGGATCGCGTCATATAACTGACGCTAAAGGGCGCCTAAAGCGTCGAATATTAAAGCATGGTCAAAAGGTGACGCCTTGGGGTGAGAATGCGTTGAAAAATCCTGTGAGAAACACTGGTATTTTTTATGCCAATGCAGCTTATAGCTTTTTGTTTGTTTGTTTGTTTGTTTGTTTTTTATTCATCGATGGAAATAAATTAATGTCATATGTTTTTGAAACAAAAAGGCCAGTTGAATTGCACTACTTGGAAAAAATAGGCATTGCATTAACAATGGTTGGATTTTAATGCATTTAAATTTAGGGCTTGCATTTTTATGGGCTGAAATTCAACATGGTTGAATATTTAAGCTGTGAATATTTCAATTCAAAACATTTCAAACACATTTTCATTATTAAAAATTCAATTATTCATATTCACCTTTCATATTTCACTTCCAAAATATTCAAACTGTTTAAAAATATATAATATTCAACAGGCAATGTTCGATCCATTTTATTTCTCTTTGAAACACTGAATTTGTGGAAGCGAATTTTCAAAGCGAAATCATGGACCGAACCAACAGTCAAATGTCAACCAAACCAAAAATTTTGTTTAAGATTTTTTATTTATTAAAATGCTTATAATAAAATAATGATGAAGAAAGTAATTAGGCTAATGAATCAACAGCCCTTTAGGCTACGAATTTAGTTTAGAAATAAACTGTAAACCTGATCAGATCTAACAGACAAATTATGATTATTAGCCTGTTAGATGACCCCAAATATAGCTACAGCAAAAAATAATAATAATAAATAAAAAATTATTTTTAAAAAGGACTACAATAGCCTCCAAGTAGCCTATAATTCCTCTCTCGCTCTCTCCAGTGCGCAGGTGGGGATGGGTGAATTCTCAGTTTGAAGTCTCTTCCTCATTTCAGCGGACTATATAGGCTACAGCAGCAGCGTCTGTCAGAGCATCAGAGCTCAGTCCCATCAATCGGTGCAGTTTTGAGAAATCGTTCCACCTGCATGGCTTTATTCCACTCCAAGCAATGCACGTGTCCAAAACAATGACCTGTTGTTATTTTTGGCACTGTTCTTTGCGCTGAACGACTAAAGACCCATGAGCATCTTCTCAGGGAACGGACTGACTGGCGTAGCGCAGGACGGGATGGCATCACAACAGCGCGTTTAGTAGGCTAGTTGAGGGAAATGGGAAGTTTAAGCGTCCGTGGACTGCGGCTACCGAATAATAAACACGCGAGGAGAGGCTTTAATGGAAGTTTTAAAAGTAATGTTTTGCAATTATACAATATTCTTCTCTGAATGAACTGCTCTGTTTGTGGCGGACTGTTAGTTCTTTACATTAAGCAGCGCTGGTTCTTCGGGCACAATGAAATCCATCTTCTACTCTCGCTTTTTCATCCTTCTTCCGTGGATCTTGATAGTGATCATCGTGATCGACATCGATACGAAGAGATTGTCTGTTCGGAACACGGCCAGCTTCTATTTGTCTCGGCTGGGAAACGTTCAGCAGCGGCAGGTCGTCAGGACGACTCGGACCAGCAGCAGCACCAGCAGTGGGAGTAACACCTCATCTCCCCCGGTTATTTATGCCATCACTCCCACTTACAGCCGAGTGGTGCAGAAAGCTGAGCTCACCCGCTTGGCCAATACGTTCCGCCAGGTTCCGCATTTCCACTGGGTCGTGGTGGAGGACTCGAACTCCCACACGGAGCTGGTTTCGCGGTTTCTTGCCCGGTCTGGGGTGCGATACACCCATCTGAACGTGCTCACCCCGCGCAGGTTCAAGCGGACGGGGATGCCGCGAGCGACCGAGCAAAGGAACTTAGCGCTCGGCTGGCTCAGAGGACGTCGCGCGTCCAAAGATAAAGGAGTCGTTTTCTTCGCGGATGATGATAACAGTTACAGCCTTGAGTTATTTGAAGAGGTAAATATCACTTCTTTCTGCCCCGTTTAGAGCCGCGGAAGGAAAAAATGAAATCTGTAAAATAAGAACTAGTCTATTTGATGAGATGCGATCACAATAGAAATGTTAAATTGCAAACCGTGGCACATCATACGTCTGGGGCTCTAAAATTCCTGTTGGCCCACACTGTTCAAAGTCATGAATACAAAACCATGTGTCGAGATATAGCTGGAACAAGGGGTTTGCAAGGCAGTTGCTACCACCCCGAGTAAGATTCTCATCCTGATGTGAGGAGCCATTGTAAAGGGTCATGTCTCTCTGTACAATACTCAAATGGTGCAGGGTGAGTTAGGTTTTTTTTTTTCCATTAAGAAGCAAATTATACCATCTTATTCCTCCCAAATGAGAAATAGCATGTATAAGACCAATGTTACATGCTACAGGTTTACTGTATGCACAACTCAGAGGTCCTACTGTATTTGGCTTGAGACCTTGCACTGTAAAAAAAAAAAAAAAAGTTCAAACCTAAAAAATATTGAAAGCAGCAATTAACCTTAAAGCTGCAGTTAAAACAAATTGGTGCCATGGTCGAGTCAATTTAAGCTTTTTGTCACTGTACAACAAGACGTTTTTGCATTCAAGGTTGTTGCATACACACTTAAATGTATAGTTTAGAGAGAAATACTTATTTTTATAAAGTTGTCCGTTAACAAATAATGTCTCTGGAGATCTCGCTGTAACATCTGTCCCCATGGAGATTCATGTGGTGTGTTTTATCAGGCCATTGTGATCTATTTCTTATGATTCTTTTTTTCAATGTGCAGTGGTTGACTCACATAAATATAGGCGACCCAGTATACAGTGTAGTCAGGCAGAGTGAATTAACCCAGTTTGAGTGGAAGTCACTGAGAAATGACAAAGCGTCCTGACAGCTTGGAAATTTGTCTGTTTAGCCGGTTGTCTGTGGACGTTGATGGACAAAACAGATAACATGGCGAAATGATGAGAGAAGATACTGCTCATTTGAGGCTCAGTCTACATGTTCAGTTTCACACACAATATATGTTTTATTTTTAAAATGTGTACATTTCTTTAGATACGTTTTTGATAAAGTCAGTTTGGTAACACTTTATCTTATACAGTGTCCTCGTTACATATTTTACATGTACTTACCATAGTAATCACTGTAAAAAAATATTGTTGGTTTAACCTAAAAAAGTAAGTAACCTGGTTGCCTTAAAATTTTAAGTTGATTGAACTGGAAAAAGTGAGTTAATGCAATAAAGGAGATTGATTTAATCATCAGAAACTCAAAATAGCAAGTTACTGAACTTAATAAATTATTTAAGATGATTTGACAAAAGAAAAAAATGTTGTGATAACAAATCTTGAAAATATTTTTTTACAGTGAGTAAATTATGCATAATTACATGCAACTAACCCTCAACCAAATCCTACCCTAACCCTACAGTATGTATTAATAATATTACTCAGTACTTAAATATTGCACTGTAACAATGACACCTTAAAATAAAGTGGAACCGTCAGTTTCATAAACTTTCATAAAGTCAGTTTCATAAAGACAATTCATAACACTGTAAAAAAAAATATTTTCAAGATGTGTTATCGCAACATTTTTTCTTTTGTCAAATCAACTTAAATCATTTATTTAGTTCAGATAACTTATTATTTTGAGTTTATGATGATTAAATCAATCTCCTTCATTTTTCCAGTTCAATCAACTTAAAATTTTAAGGCAACTAGGTTACTTACTTTTTTAAGTTAAACCAACAAAAAAAATGTACAGTGTATTAGCTCATAAGGCATAAGAAGAGTGTATGAAAATGTGAATAAGAAAATTCAAACAACTTAGCCACCAATTCACCAAAACCTAAAAATAGTTACAAATTACTATGTGAGTGTGTTGCTTTAATCGATGTCTGATGATTATCCATTTCATTTATTTGTCTGGGATATAAAGTGGGAAGAGGTTTCCTCCACTGCATTACACTCAGTTCTATCTACAGTAACACAAAATATTCTTCTCTCTCTTGGCTATTATCCAAACCCAGCACTTATAGCTCGTCGTCTCATTTATCATCAATTATTCTACCAGTCTTTTACCTCTGCTTTTTCCTCCTCTTTTAGCCGTTCTCTTTTCCTTTGCCACAGGCCTTGCTGCCCTCCTTATTTCTTCAATGCTTGCTTTGTGCATCCTGCCTCTTTCTCTCTCTCTCTCTCCATTTCTCCAGAACACAGCTGGACATGTGGATGAACACATGGAACGGCCCCTGAGGGGTAGAGCGCAATGTCAGTATGCTGATGACCCCTGCTCTGCTCAACACAAACACATTACACAGCACAACAATGAGAGTCATTTGGCCATTTTCAACAGCTAGTGCTTCATAATGACAAATATTAATGACACCAAGGAAATGTATTCATTTAGCACATTCAGTTCGAGTGATTCATCCTAAGGTGACAGTAATATAAAAGAACTGCAATGCAAAGTCTTAAAATTGGCTAGAAAAGTATAGAGATGTGACAGAGAAACAGTGAAACAATTTACAGGTTTTTTAAAATAAAGGTTTAGTAGGGAGTCTAGGGACAATAGTACTGTGTGCTGATGGTCATTGGTCAAGTGCTTGTGGAAAAAAATGTGGAGTGTGGAAGATCATTTTGTGTTAAAATAGCTTTATCATCAAACATGCAAATTATTATTATTTTTGGTTATAATAATAATAATAATATGACAAGATGAAAAGCAATTTGTCCAAAATAAAAAAATGGAGCGTGATATATTCGATCACGAACCAGCCAATCAGAACTGCTCTCTCTGTTTGTGTGGCTCTCATATTCACAGAGCGTTAAAAATAAGAACAAATAGCTTACATTATCTACTGTATGTGTAATGTAGCCAGACCTGTATGCTTTTCCTTTTGAAATGTGAGTCATGAAATCCACCCAATCTTTCCTCATTCATGTTTAATATAGTACATGAAGAAAAAATAAAGTCATACAGGATTGGAACAACATTAGAGTTCGTAAATGATGATAGAATTTTCTTTTTTGCGTGGACTAAACCAATGAGATTTCAGTGTGCAGCACTTCTGAAAAACTACAACGAAACAAAATGTAACGTTGCTCGTTGTGGTCAGTTAGGATAAAAATGCTTTATCACCATAATGCTCTAATTTTAATTAAAAAAATTATTTTAAGTTTACAAATTAAAAATGTAAAAACAAGATGCATTTACTCTAAAAGCCATATTTCTGTTTAGTTTTCACTTGTTTGGACCTTGTCAGTGCAGTAAAACAAATATTAATACAAAAATGCACTTTTACTGCTAGAGCTGCTTCTCTTAAAGATTTTTTAGACATTGTTACTGGAAAGCATGTCCACAAAGTCTGTATATATGCTGCTACTCTGCCTTAAGGCTTCAGTGCCACGACAAATTCTGAATTAGATTTATTGTTCTCAAGTGTAACCTGTCTTTCCCTAGAAATACAGTTCCTTATTAGATCCGATTTTGTATTGTTTTTTTTTGCATTGTTGGAATCCTCTCTGGAACTGTCAGGCAGCATGTAGAGTTTTGTTATTGAAGGTGATTTTGCCTCCCTAAAGATAAACACACTTTTCTACTACACATTTATTTCTCTGCACTGTGTTGTCAAAATGGGGCCAGAATTTCTTATTCCCTAGTCCCTGCAGGAAAACACACGGGTCACAAGAACTGCCAAATACAGTTGTCTTTCCATATAGACGCCAGTAGCTTGAGAGCTCAACTCAAAGAACAGTGTATGTGACATTGCATTTGATAGCTGTGCCTGTTGCCCTTGTTGTCATCCTTACCGCGAAAGGATGCTTGGCACCTGCAGATGACATCCTCTTTGCTATAGAGAATTCTTTGATTTTGCCTTTGAATTGGGTTACACTTAAGAGCAACCATTATGGAGACGAAGCCTTTGAAGAGAGGAAGACAGGCATTAGAAAGGGGCAGCAGTTTGGGCTTCAAAGCTTGTCCATTGCTTAGGGCCGCCAGCACAGACACGTCACCCGACTGTGTACAGCACTCACACAAATAGCACAACCATTAAATATTCAAAGACTACTCTGACAATTTGTTTGAGAAATTGCAGCAACGCTCATTCTCCCAGTGGCAAATATAGGTTTTTTCATTGTTATGTTATTATATATGAAGGAATGAAGAAAAAAGGAGCTTCTTTCAGCTGTATGATGTTTAAAATTTCACAAGGAAGATGGTATCTTGTAGGAAATGACAGTTTTAGTGTTGCCGGGTGGTTCAATCAGATGTGATCTTGATTATTAAACTGAAGAGCAGTGTGTGCTGTCTCCAGCAAACTGCAGGTGGATGGACTTATTTATGCTGAAAATGAGCCATTTTATAATAAGCCATGCTGTTCGTGCAGTACTTTACTTGGTCCTTTAAAAATAAAAAATAAATCAATTAAAGGGATAGTTCACTTTGAAATTATTTTTTATATGTTTTAGCTTACCTCAAGGGCATCCAAGATGTAGGTGTCTTTGTTTCCGCAGGATTTTCAATGTTGACATTTTTCGGTCAAACCGGTGTTGTCTGTCAGTCATATAATGCAGGTTTAGGGGGTCCACCTCAAGGAACATGCACAGAGAAGTCAAAATGAAACATGATTTAATGACTCGTGAATGTAAGTACACACTGATGGCCTAAGACACGAAACGAGCGGTTTGTGTGAGAAAACGAACAGTATTTATATAGTTTTTACCTCTTGTTAACAGCCACGTCGAACTGATCTGAATCAGATGTCCAACTGAACCGAAATGAACCGTGTCCAACGTTACGCTGGAAGTGGTCACGCATTGTTTACACAGAGATTTTGGAAGTTTTACCTTTCACTAAATATATTTAGATACACGGGAAATCGCAATGGAAGACGATTTCAATATATGTAAATGTTTAGAAATAAAATTTAAAAAATTAATTTCACTGTAAACTAGCCCTTTAAAAAGTACTCGTATGGTTAGAACCACCATAGACTTGGGTGGCCATATTTTGATTACCAAAAACCAGGACACTCGGCCCAGCAGAGAGATACTCAAATGATACTCGAAGTTTACTCAAAGATGCCTTATTAATTTCAATACATTTAAATTAGGCTACAGTATGCCTCCTCTGTATGGATAGAAAATTGTTATATTACAAGACACAAATTCAGATAGGCTTCTCCGAATTTACTCAACGTGTTTTAATTATGACAGGTTTCAAAAATAATAAATGAAATAATGTCTCTTCTATATTAGAAAATAAATATAAATAAATGATATTTATAGAGAGAGATAAATATGTAAATAATAAATAACTAAACGAAATACCTCCAAATTGAACAAAAATAGCTCTCACAAACTTACAAAAACGAACTAACAAAATATATTTATATCTTTAGTTTTCTTCTTCTTTTTCCTGTTTTCTTGTTGTCTTCCTCATCCTCCTGGTTAGCCCATTTTGCTGGAGAGCAAAGTTTTTTTGAAAACCAGGACATTTTCATCACTTTTTAAAAAACATCCAGGGGTGCGTTTCCCGAAAGCATCGTTAGCCAGCTATGGTTGCAATTTCCATTGAATTCTATTGGTAACGACGGAACTTGCGACCATAGTTGGCTAACGATGCGGGAAACTCACTCCAGGACGGGATGTGAAAACAGGACGCGAACAGGACTGCTGGTCATCCTACCGTAGACATCGAGCCCAAAGGCATGCTTTTACTATTCACCAAAGATGAGTGCGAATTCCACTGAAATGCTTTAGGAAAAGTGCTTCGTAGGATGAAAGTAGCTAAACATTTATTATTTGACAATACATTTTTTTGATGGAAATGTTTAACAACCGGCAGTAAGATGCAGTGATGTAAATTTTGCTGTTTTGAACTGAAAATATGCTATCGTTCATAACTCAAAAGCGACAAGACAAGAAATGTCTTGCGTTTTCGACATATTAGACATGCAAACAGTTAATGCGTGCAAATTATTATTTGCAAAGTTGAAATTGATTACTTCACAACTACAATTAGAACTAGAACTTCTTTTTTTTTTATTTCCTTAAAGGGCATAGCTCTTTTACAAAGTCTTGATTTTTTTTGTTTTTGGGGTGTACTAGAATATGCTTTTATGCAGTGGCGTAGGCTTGATTTTAAAATTGGTGGGGACGGGAAGTTTTGATTGAAATTATTGCTAGGGATATCAGTGTCACTGGATATTGGTAGGGACACGTCCCCAGCGTCCCTACTAAATTCTACGCCCCTGCTTTTATGCTTGATCGTTCAAAAAAACGCATTATTTTTCATAAATTTTTCATTATTACAGCACCTCTCTCCCCAGTCTGGCCCGAACGTGCCGTTTATTTCCTGTTTCGATGAAGACCCTCCTTCCGAAATTCTAAATGTGCTGTGATTGGTTAGCTGACCCAGTGTGTTGTGATTGGCACTGCCTAGCGCACGTTCAGGAAATGTCACTCTCATTACCATAACCGCAATCTCTACTCGATGCGTCAAGTTCAAACCAATTCAGGCAGCACGGTCAAGACAACAGTCTTCTCTCATGCTGCTCAACCAGCCATTGACCCCTTTTCTCGTATTCTGTGTGCAGGGATTATTTAAATGAGTAACATTATGACTTCACAAGATCCGTGAAAATCGGGTTGTAGTACAAACGAGTTGTTTGTTGTAGTTCTAGAAAAGTGGATTCTGTTAAATAAAATATCTCCCTTTGGAGTTGACTTTGAGCTTTGTAACCTTGCAGATCTTTTCTAAAAGTAGCATTATACACTAACTAAAGGACTCCTAATAGGACTCCTTCAAATCATTTAATCATTTATTTCCTTTTAATTAAAAAACGTTCAATTAACAAATTTAGTGAATTGTATTTGCAATATTATCATGTTTCCCTTCTTCTACAGATGCGGTCAACCCGGAAAGTGTCAGTGTGGCCAGTGGGACTCGTTGGAGGCCGGAGGTACGAGCGTCCCCTGGTGAAAAATGGGAAAGTGGTCGGCTGGTACACAGGCTGGAAAGCTGACAGGCCGTTTGCAATTGACATGGCTGGTAAGACGTCACTAAGATCGACCTTCACAGGAGTAATTTTCCCCCCATAGTAAGTTATCAAAACGCCGCTAGCCATTTTTACTGATTATTATTACGACAAAACTGAATGATAACACTCAAACCAGGAAAAAAATGTCCCATAAATTTGAAATGACTATAATGCCTGTTTTACACCACGTGCAGAAGCAGCATATTCACAAGGCTGAATCATAAATGCAAGAGCAAGCATTCAAGATGACACTGTTTCTGTGTTACTGCATTTTGTATTTCCCTTTAATAATGGCAGAACATTCTAGTATGGTTTTCGGAGTGTGCAACTGAAAATTGAATTTACGCAAGGAAATCCAAATGCTAATTAATTCACACGGAACAATCTAAACCTTCAATTCATTATTTTATATTCAAAAATCTAGATTGATTGTGTTGATAAATCCTTTGATAATGTATTTTCCGCACATGGGGCTTAAACATCTTCAATGCTGAAACCTCACTGAGGCATGCAGTATTAATGGTCTGACGTTAATATGGGCATCCTGAAAAAAAAAAAATCAACAAGCTATGCCATAGACCAGAAAAATCCATCAGTGGAGTGCCATATTCTCTCTCACTTTTATAGATGGTTCAGAATTATAAGATAAGCAGGCAGCCATTTAAAACAACAACAACAACAACAACAACAAAAACACGTTTGACCAGTTCTCAGAAATGCCTCTATTGCATCTATTTCTGGATTTCAAATATTTATAGGCCTATAACATTATCTGGCTCGTGTGACAGAGAAAGATTTTTGACAATAGATTCCTCTAGTTAATTAACAGGTTTCTGGTGACTGGTACATTCCGTCATCCAGCTGGTTTTGAATTTCAGAAATAATTTGTGGAAATCATGTAAACTTCAAGCTAAGCACAATTATCAGATTTCGTTTTTCCATCCTGCGCATCTGAAAGCTTCCATTTAAGTTACATTTATTCATTAGACAGATGCTTTTATCCAAAGTGATTTACAGAGCATTCAGAGTATACATTTTTTTTCAGTATGTCGGTTATCAAACCCATGACTCATGGCATTGCAGGTGAACTACTGTGACCAATTAAACATCCATCAGCTGACTTGATAAAAGTCATTTTTAAAGTTCAGAACCATTACTGTAAGTGTCTCAAAAGTATTAGAGAAGCAGAACCACATTACCAGGAGCATTATGTCTTCAAGTTTCACCACAAGGTCTCTCAGTTTTATTTAATGTTATTAAGATATTGAACCTCCATATCTGAACCTGTCTATCTTCTCTGAGTTCTAAAGGATATTCTGCCCACGTAATACCATGTGATGCTGCTGATCATAACATCAGCTGTACTGTATGTGGAGCAGCTTGCCTGCTCAGATAAACAGATGGGACTTCTTTGCAGTTTGGTCGTGTTGATACTTTCCAGACTGCCCCTCACTGAAATCGTTTCAAACAGGCATATAAAATTGGCCCAAAGCAGGCAGCAAAATTTACTTCTCTATAGAGAGACCATGCAGGAAGAATGCTCTAAGCTGAGGGGAAAAAAGCCATGAAACACCAGAGAGTTTTCTGAAGAGGCTTTTCTCCTATATTAAACTATAAGACTGAAAAACTGAAACAACTGGAAGAGAGGGCAATTCTTTGAGAAAAAGTAAATTAACATTTAATCTCTCTTGTGAAATTAGCATCATCACCATTTGAGATGCAAGTCTCACCTCAGAATCATCCTAATTTACATCTCTTTCCCTCTTCCCCCATTCCTTCTCTCTCATGCTGAGATCCCCAAAATTAACCCAAAAATCTATATGGTTTAATGTGAATAATTATCATAAAGTATTATACATGTTTGGTATCATTTGAAATGACTCTGTGCGACTGGTAAACATGTCTCATTCCCAAAGAAGTAAACCAAAAAGTAAAAAAGGTTTTAAGAGTTTAGAGATAACTTGCACACAGAGGAGGGGTGTGCCTTCCTGGCAAATGGCAAAAGGTGTACATAAAATATTATATATATATATATATATATATATATATATATATATACAGTATAGACATGCAAATATTTCTTAAATATAAATATTTACATGCATGTGTGTGTATTTATATACAAAAAATTATACGCAGTACACACATGTATTATGTAAAAAAATATTTAGAAAAGAAAAATAATGCATGAAAATTTGAAATGTTGTCTTCTGACAGAGATAAAATTAGTAAGTTAAGTATGTTTACATAACCATTTCAAATAATATAATATATACTGTAGATACTAAAAAATACTGAACTGTACTTGCAGAGAACAGAGACTCAAAGTTCATGCTAATAGATTAAGGGTTGTCAAAACAAAACCAAAAAAAAAAAAAAACCCTAAAATTTAATTAACAGAAAATGTTTACACATTTACAATAAACAGGCTTATGAAAGCCAACCTCCGCCCCGTCTGCTGAGACCATCAGAACCTTCAAGAAAGAGCTGAAGACACACTTTTTCCACAAGCACTTAACTAAAACACAACCATAAACAAAGGCACTTGGCACAGTGTACTGCAAATATTGTTGGCTCTTCTGATAAACTGCCCGTGAGATTCCTCATTTGTAAGAAGCTTTGGATAAAAGCGTCAGCTAACTGAGCTAAGTGACAACATGTAAATTGGAATTTGACATTTCAAGCTGGTCAGGATACGCAAACAGAACAATGTTAAAAGGATCCTTGTTTGCACTTTCTGGGGAAACTCAGCTTTCAAATGGTACGCTAATAGTTTACTATGATAAAGAACGTATTGCAACAGTAAAAAACAAAACAAAAAAAAAAACACTATTACAAAGCATTACTGACAGGCAAATAGAACAGATACCCTATATTTTTAGGCAGACGAAGCAACAATTCGCTCCCTATAATTGGCAAAAATCCCCTTTACTGAGGCTATGTTCAGCAATTTCTTGCAAACGTGAGCTCTCAGGCAGTGCATTAAAAAGGGTGGGGTGAGAAGATGCTGACAGGTTGGAAACATCCTAATGGAGAGAGGCAGGGCTCATATGGCGCTCAAAGGAATGAATACAACGTCAGAGATAGCAGTGGGTAGAGTTAAAGCAATCCCTAATTCCCCAGACTCCAGCGCTTCCTCTGGATATTATGCTGGTCCTGAAACTCTAATAACAAGAGATGGTATCATCTTTTTCTCATATGATCTCTATTACTACCATTATTGCTCTCCTTCCAAAGCTCATATTTTTCTCATGTGTTCACTCACACATAATCATCATTGTTGTTGTCATCAGAGCTAATGTATTCATTGTCAGGCCCTACCTGACAGTGAGCACATCTCCCTTAACAATGCATATGTTTCCTCACATCGCTGATATAGACTAATCGGATGTTGAAAATGAGCTGTTTAAGGTTCATAAATCTGCCGGCTCCACTACACTCCTCCCTGAACAAAAGCGGAGAACAATAAGGTTATTTAGTATTCCTGCTGTACGGCGGCTTCTTCTGAGAGCAAACACAATAGCAGAGAAAAGGTCCTGAACCACCTCTCTCATTGCTTTCAAGCACTGCTCTCACCTAAAGAGGAACTCAAGTGCTTGTCTTAACATGGAAACCTTTTTAACACACAATAACAACGTTTTGCACATTAGGCGGAGAAGGGCTGAAATGATTTTGCATGACAAAGAGCTGCATCTGTCGTGTACACAGTGATTAAACCATGAGTCACGCTAGCCTTTACACAATCTGTGTCACGAGCACAATTCACAGAATTTGATTTTATAAATGTTTTATAATTATAATAAATATCATAAACTGATTAAGACAGCTTAAAAGTGGTGGACACACAATACACACTGCTAAATATTTAAGAATTACACCATTATCTTTTGTTGAAGCATCTACAATAACCATCCAGTCATAAGTTTGGCGTCAGTAAGATAAAAAAAAAGTTTTAGAAACAAGTCTCGAGTTTGTTCTTTCCAAAAAATAACAAACTCTCATAAATATTTGAGCAGTAGTGTGTGTATGTATAAACTAGGAATAATGGTTGTAATAAAACAGCAGACTGATTAAATTGCATCAGTGAGTTCATGTTGTACCTTTACAGAATTTATTCCATTAAAAAAAAATATGATAATGTTATGTAAATAACAAAGTTGTTAGTCACAACATAAAACTAATCTAAAAGGTGCTCTTTCCAATGCGCATTTTACAGATTGCTCTATTAGTATGTACTTATTGTCCCTTATTAATTTTAGACCGTTTCTGAATATGATTTACATATTTAAGTACTAATGATTTCATGATTTATGCATAGGGATGGGTACCGAAACCCGGTATTAAACGGGCCCCGGTACTGAATTTTGAAAGACCGCTGTATCGATAAGCTCGGACGTTACCGGTTCTGCTGTCGGTACTGGAGAAATTAAGTAAATACACGCAAGTTGGGCTACTATTTATTATTCCTATAAAGACGTTATCTCGAACATGTTTATATCACCAGCCATTTCTATATATCAACTATATTTTAATTAAACCATATGTCTGTGATGCAAATTTGCAATTCGCAGTTCAGAAGAGAGAGAGAAGAGAGAAGAGAGAGAGCGATCTCTCACGCAAAGCCACAGCACGCGCAACACGACAGCCCTGCTTAATGAGTGACAATGAGGACAGAACTAAACATCCAACGTGGTTACACTTTAGATCTGGGGTATTCTTCTAATATATTTTGTATTTCGGCTTCCAAAGATTATAAAAAGAAGATATTTGAGATAAAACCGTTAAAAAACGAAACGATCTGTCCAGCTTAACTTCCTTTACTTCACAGCACTGCGGAGCGCTGTCAGTTCTTCCTAAAACCCAAACGTAACCGTCAGAATCAGCACGATCGGCGATTGTTTCAAAGTGCTGTCTTCTACTGTTGCAAGATCAAGAAAATAGCTATTAAAAACACAAAAACCTGCGCAAGAGACGCTGTTCACAAGGCGGTGCACGCTCCGAAACGGACTGCAACGAGACAAGAAAAGTAATACTTGGGCTTTGTGCGTCCTTAACTATCAAATATACATACAAATGTCAAAATGACCAGCTCTGAGATTCACTTAAACACAGTTTATTCACTTAAACACAAGTATGTCTTAAACGGACGTAAATAATAGGGAGAAAATGATGGTGCATCAGTCCCCATTATCTGCACTCGGTCTTAAAGGGGCAGCAGTCTAATAGCCTAAACCTGCTGACGATTCAGCCATTAATGCAAATCAAACAACAAAAGGCAGAGAAAATCACTCACAGCCTTTGAATGAGTAACTTTAGATTTAATAAGCATTATTCTATCTATGATAAACTACAGTGCTATTTTATATTTGATTAATAGGTTTCTTTTCAGACAGAAACAATTACCTGACAAGATATGCTAGTAGACCTTCCTGAAATTAAAGCACTTTGTATATAATTTGTACCTTTGATTAATTGTATTCTTGTGTTTGTACTTGTTTTTTTTTCTTATGTGTCCTTTTTGTATAAACAAAAAAAGCCTGCACATTGCTGCATAACAAAAATATATTTTTCTTCGTTTTGCTTTTTATATTTTACATTTCAAAATATAAAGTTTAATTATGTTCTTAATTCTTAAAAAAAAAAAAATAATAAAAAACACCAAAAAGAACCGATAAGAATACCGTTAAAGTACCGGATCGATAAGCGGTATCGGTAAGAGTAGTAATACCGATAAAACCTTAACGATACCCATCCCTATTTATGCATCACATTTCCCTGGAAATTAAATTACTTGACAGTTCCGAAAGGCAAAATAAGTTTTAAACATCAATCCGTTTTCAGCTTTTCAACACTACAAATTTGAAGGCCATCCTAATTAAAGACCTTATAAACAGCTGGTCAAGAAGTCTTGAACTTCAGGATGTGAATGTTTAGGATGGGTTTATGCATATCTGGATGGACCCCGAAGTGCTATTGGTGCAACAGCAGAAACATGTCCAGCTCTTCAGCTCTATCAAAGCCGCGTCCCTAGTTCTCTGAACGTAGGTTCTTGCATCATTCCCCTAATACTTGTATATGGACATCAAAAGGTAATATAGTCGTTAAAAAAAAGATCAAAAGAAAGGAGTTGATTGGCCTTCAACTATTAATAAACCTTGACATTATGCATGTCGATCTGAGGGAGAGAAATCTTGTAACTACACAAGGACACAGTTAGCCAAGGCTTAGATGAGCAATGCTGTCGTGAGCTCGCCTCTGCGGATTAAAACCCAGGTGGTTTTAGCTGGAACGCAGGCGTCCTAGAAAACAGCCTGTGTCCATGCAGGATAAAAAGCCCACAACAGAGGGTGATATTCCCTATAGTAAAATTTGAAAAGTCCTTCTCCTGTTTTGGGGCTGAGACAGTGTCATAGAGAGAAATGGAAACAAGCGGGTGAAAAACGTATCCTGACCCACATGCATCTTGACAGTGGGACCCTGCTCCCATGTGAAATGCATGAGGTCAAGAGAGAGCTGAAGAGCTGTGCATTTGAGTATATAAATAATACACAGTGAATGAGAGAGAGTGTTTGAATATATGGTGAGATTATTTGCGATTAACAATTTCAGGCGTTTTATACTAAGCTTTTTGATGAGCTTCAATGAGCATCAAACACAGACTTTCTCACTTACAAACAAAGAGAAAGATATCCGATAGTATTCCCATTCATCTCAATGGCAGTTGCTCAATTCTATGTAATTTGCCAACACTGGTTAAGGGTACTCAATTGTACAGCCAAGTTTAAGCCAATCACCCGAGCCGTGTGCGACTGATCACACTGAAGGCACAAGGAGGCACTGGTCACACCACCATTTTCCGAACCCTTCTCAGTAATGGCTATCACGAGCTGTTACGTCAAAAGCAGCAGAGAGGAGACATAAAATAAAATACATTTTCATTTAAATGTTTGATTGCTATTTTTACTTTGTTAACGTCAGGGTTTGCAGTGAACCTGCAGGTGATCCTGTCAAACCCACGTGCCCTGTTCAAGAGGAGAGGAGCCAAACCAGGGATGCAAGAATCAGATTTCCTCAAACAGATCACCAAGGTGGAGGACTTGGAGCCAAAGGCCCAGAACTGTACCCAAGTGAGTAGAACAGCTTGCATCTTTGATTATCATATTAAAAAGGTATTCCAGGTATCTCTTTAAATCGGAGACTCATTATTTTGGGCAATATGACTCACCACTACTTTTTTTTTGTATTCCTTTGAAACCATGCCGGTCTATTCTTCAACCAGTGACAATAGTGAATAGCTACTGTATGTCAAGTAGCGCTGAAAATGAAGAAAAAAGAAAAACCCTTCATATGTATTTGACTCAGTCTGATTCTTAAAGCTCCTTCGTTCGTTCGTGGCCCATTATCCTGAAATCTCAAGCTTCAGTCGACTCACCTTACATGTCAAAATGCTCTCTTCCTCCCTGTACCACGCGTCACTGCTACTGCCATCATCATTATCACCCAATTACCCTAATGGTAGCCGGCCTGGGTTATTAATAGTGACTATTAGCAGGGCTGACAATTCCACTAATCACCAACACCAGCAAGAGCAGAACACATTTCCAACATCAGCCAATCAGTTATGCGTCACTTTTTCCAGACGCAGCATAATGTCTGCATTGTAAACACTGCGGAGAGCGCAGGTTTATTCTTGCGTGTAGATATCGCACCCGTAAACTGGACGGAGAGGCCACTGACAGTTACAAAGAAGTGCGAGGTGCTATTTGGACAACGTAGGAGTTTAATATACTTAAATTTGTGGCTGTATTCCAATTATATGAGAACGACATTATGGAAGTAAACAAACGAAAGTGTGTGTGCCAGCAGTTGTGGGTCCTCGTGATGGGTCTGAGCGGGCGTCTGTCCAAGTTGAGCACTGCCAGCAATGTCTTTTTGAAAGGTCACATTTGTAGGAGTGTTCTTTTGAGTCCCCAACGGATGACTGTGACTAAGCCTGCGGGCAGGGCAATATGGCTAACTCCCAGCATGCACTTCAAAATTAAAGGCAGGGAGGCTGGGGAGGATTGAGGGGGGGGGGTCATCTTATGCGAGTACTCGGACTGAACTGATGTGACAAGGAGGAAAGGGACGGAGGAATAAGAAGAGGGAAAGGGAAACGGTTTAAGAGAGACTGCACACATGCTATATAGATAGAGGGATAAAGAGGGTGTGAGAGACATTCACAGGCTTATTTACAGAAGTCAGTACATACACTAGACTCTCCTGTTTATTAATGTCAGTCTCAATCATGCTCCTGCCAGAGTGCTGTCAGTGTGCCAGCTTGCTTTACTCTGAACAGGATGAGTATCTGATGCCTTCAATTGTGTTGTGGGCAGATTCAATAGAAATACTTCTTCAACAAAAGTATTGTTTGAGAAAATGGTTTGTACCATGGACTGCCCAAATAGAAGCAACAGACATTTTTTTCTACAATGGACTTTAGAGTAATGCACCTTCATCAGCTGAACAAATGAGCTAGAATGCTTTCATTGTGTAACAGTTCCTTCCGATGTTGGGCAAGAGTCTATCCCTTTTGAACAATTATAGCAAATTACTTATAACTAGCTATTAGAACAGACTAAGGTTCTATACATTGTTAAATGGCATGCAACAGATAACAGAACTAAGAAAGAATGATGCATTCAGAGCATTCCTTAAAGTCGGCATGAAATTAAATATGACAAATCTTCTTTTTATATGTAATATTGTAGTGTTTATTATACATGATTTATCTGTGCGCTTCATTATTTTTTAAAAATTCATGGACCCTTATAATCTTTAATCAAATACATTACCCTGCCCTCGCCCATCGAAACGACCTCTCTTCTATTTCGGTCACGTGGAATGGCGAAAGGGTGCGGCCAGATCCGATGAGGGTGCGGCTATCGGCAGAGAATCGCATTGAAATCTGCCTCCATTTTGTTTGCAACGCCCAACCTCCAACGATCCAATCAATTCCCGAAGGACGAAAATCAAGCCCTGCCCTACATTTTATTCTAATTTCAGAAGCCGTTTCACTCGGATATACATCACGACAATGAAAAAAATCTCAACTTCCGTTTCACGCCGACTTTAACCTTTGTTAATGTTAATTTTTTCCATATACAAAAACATTTTTATCATTGCAAATTGTATTTTTATAGAATAGTATAAAATTATCTCATTTATTGTTAGTTCATGCAAATCTGTTCTAAAGTTTGGGGTCAGTAGGGTTTTTTGAATGAAGCCTCTTATGCTTAAGAAGGCTGCATTCATTTGATTAAAATTACAGTAAAACTGCAATATTGTGTAAAATTATTACAAATTAAAATATTGTATATTTTAAAATGTTATTTATTCCTGTGATGGCAAAGATGAATGTTCATCTGCCGTTTCTCCAGGCTTCAGTGCCACATGATGCTTTAAAAATGCTGATTTGGTGCTCAAGAAATATTTATTATTATCAGTGTTGAAAACTGCTTAATATTTTTGTGGAAATCTTGATTTTTTTTTTTTTTTTTTACAGGATTCTTTGATGAACAAAGTTCAAAGGAATATCATTGTTATTGAAATCTTTTGTAACAATATAAATGTCTTTACTGTCACTTTTGATCAGTTAAATGGGTGAATAAAATGCTCTTCTTCTTTTTTTAAATAAAATCTGAACTAAATCACTTTTGAACATGAGTGTATGGAATGTCAAACTCAGTTCCTGGAGGGCTTCAGCCCTGCAGAGTTAAGTTTCAACCCTAATTAAACACTAGGCTTATTTTAAAACTGCAGGTGTGTGTGTTGAAGCAGTGTTGGAACTAAACACTGCTAACATCCCCTTATTATTAAAATTGTATTCAAAAATGTATTTAAATTTCAATAACCCTTTCTTGAAACCCATTTAGATGTACTAGAGCCCATGACTGCTGGCTTCACCTCTCTGCACTGCTGTTATATCACTGCTTTCAACCTTTGCGCACCGAGTTGTAGCTATTACATTATCAACATAAAAAATGGAAGGATTTACATATGAAAGCGGAAGCGCACAAGTTTAATTCTTCATGTATTATTACATTACTCTTAAAAATAGATGTTTTCGACAGCTCCACACAAACTTAAAGGAGAACTCCGGCACAAAATGAACCTTTGGTCTAATTACACATTGTTACCTAGTCAACCGTTATCTGAGATTTGTTTTCATGATTGCCGAATGTAAATAGTTGTATCTCAAAAAACAGTTTAGCCTATAACGCTAGTATAATGGGCATAGAGTAATGACAAATAAAAATCGCTTGTTTTTATCACTAACAAGGCTCAAAATAGCCCCACAGTCACACAGTAGCATAATATGGGTCCCTACATTCAACCCGAAGCACTGAAAAGTTTGTCAGTGTCCAAACAGTTTAATAAGAAGATATTTTATACACACAGTCAACTTCGCGAATACAGGAAGAAGCCATCTTTGAAAAATAGTCTCTACCAGTCGATCTACGAACGCCGATCCAAGTGCGCTGGAGAGATGTGAATAAGGTGATAAAGTGAGCGCGAACAGTAGTCTACATGTACATATTCAAGAGAAGAAAATGGTTCGTGTTTGTGTTTCTTCCGGAAACAACGGACCAAATGAGATTCTGCACAGTTCAGCGCACTTGGATCGGCGTTCGTAGATCGACTGGTAGAGACTATTTTTCAAAGATGGCTTCTTGGACACTGTCATGGACACTGACAAAGTTCTGAATGCTTCGGTTTGAATGTTATTATGCTACCGTGTTACTGTGGGGCTATTTTGAGCCTTGTTAGTGGTAATAACAAGCGATTTTTATTAGTCATTACTCTATGCCCCATATACTAGCGTTATAGGCTAAACTGTTTTTATAGATAAAACTATTTACATTCAGCAATCATGAAAACAAATCTCAGATAACGGTTGACTAGGTAACAATGTGTAATTAGACCAAAGGTTCATTTTGCACCAGAGTTCTCTTTTAATTAATGAAGTTTAACCACCCACAAAACCAATAATGATCCACTCCAGAAAGTTCCAGATTTAAACTAAAAACTTTTATCTATTTAAATAAAGCTCAGTCCAACAACTTACTTTGCCCTGATAATATATATTAAGGCAACACCGGGATTATTAGATGGCAAAGTAGAGTGTCAGACGCCTACATAAGGAGCACTTTACAGAATCTACCAGAGGGATGCAACTTGTTTTCAGGCCAACTACTACAGCATGCTTTGAGTTACTTATGGGTTGCTGCTCCAATGTGCAGACTATATTTATCTCTTGTGGTTTTGCTAAATTAGCCTTGTTATGGAAAACAAGCCAATTTGTAATAACATGTTTTGTGGAACAGTCACACCTGAGTGCGGTCAATCCGAGAGATCCTGTTCCAGCACCCTTCAGGCACCAAAAACATGTCAGCTGAGAGATCACAGGCACTGTGTGGGGAATAGGGAAATATGCTTGTCACTCACATTTAAATGACATTTCAAATCAGCAATGAAATCTGACATTAACTCACATTGTTGTTTCTTAGGCCCACCATATTGCGAATTGCATTTTTTCCCATCCTAGAAGTATGAGTAAACCATCTTAATATATATACAATCTTTGTTTTGTCACGCATTTGATTCGCAAATTCTGAAATAACTGATTCCAACTGGTTTCTTTCAGGTCCTGGTCTGGCATACCCGGACAGAGAAGGTCAACCTGGGAAATGAAACAAAGCGGCAACAGGATTCGATTTTTATAGAGGTCTAGAGACACTGCACTAGGACTGTCATGACACTGGATGGAGGCTCGCCATTGCTGGCACTTTGCCGCCTTTGAACTTAAGGATACCTGCTCTGGCGGAAAAGGCAAGCCAAGCCATCTCGGGTTTCTGGATTCTCTACTGACACACTGTCTCTATCTACTGGAGCTTCACACTGTGGCGTCACACTGGATTACCTGTAACGTGGTGGAGAAGAAACCATGGATAAGGGGTTTTCAAATGGCAAAACCCTGATCACTTTCCCTTTCAGGGTTTCTGCAGGTTTCACAAAGTCAAATCTAAGACCTTTTTAAGACCATTATGAATGACATTTAAACAAACAAAACAAAACAAAACAAAAACAGTACAAAGGAAACAGAGTCTCAAAATTATTCGCAAAGTCATTTAATTTTATTCAAACTGAACATTCGTCGAAAATCTGCACGAACGGTTCAGAGATTTTGGAAATTAGTTCTGTTTCTGTTTTTATAAAATCCCCTATTCCAAAGCGCGTAATGTTGGCCGTTTTATCTTTCCCGCACCTGAAGGATTTAACGATGTTTCAGTCCGAAAACATTGTTTGAAACAATTTAGAACTGGTGTTGTCACCGTGTGGAGAACCCAGAGCTCCTCTGCTTTTAGTGTTGGCTCTGATCAATAGCAACACGGAGATTGATTCTGGGATTTGCGGAGCTAGTTGGGCCTCGGCTAGGCAGTGTAGAAGTACCGTTAGTGCTGGAGCCCCCTGATACTTGCAAGAACTGACTGGTGGCTGTCGTTTGCTGGAGACCCTTCACAGCACTTAGATGTTTATCACTTTTTGCATGTGACTCCAGCGCCCAACGTTCCCAATTTAATAGCTTTCTTGCATAAGAAGCAGTAGGCTTTAAATACGTTGTTTGCAACTGGCTTTAACCAAGCACGAAATTCTGATTTTTCAAGCCAAGTATCACTAAACGTCCACTTCCCCATAGCTGAATAAAATCCGTTTTATGTCCGTCTGTGGTATCTGAGATACGCGCCAATAACACGAAAGTTCAAAGCTGTTGCATGTTGGTCTATTTTGTAGTCATACAGGGAGTTATATTTGAACTAGCGAAATAAATAACTACAACCATGGAATAAAAAAATGACCTAGAACACAATACGTGTTGTGATTGTGAAATTTTAGACTTTTTTTGACTTTTTAAGACCCCGCGGAAACCCTGCCTTTTCCTCGGACTCTGAAAGCTCTGAGAATCAGATCAACGTCTGTGAATGCGGAGGACAAGGACCGGCTGCTTGAATAATGTACAGAGGTTGGGTGGTGCTGAAAATAAACTGTCCATGAAAATAAAAGGAATAGTCGATAAAAACACACGCCGCAAATACAGTCAAAAGCGTGAGACACCAGGGACAGAACTTTTGGATTACAACTGTCTTTATTCCAAACGACCTTCTTTAAAAGCAAAAATAAAGAAAAAAACAAAACAAAAAAAACTTTACAATAAATGCGTCTTTAGACAAAATGATCACACAATAGTTCATGGCTATTCACTGTTTAATGCACGAAAATAACAATATTTTGTCTCTGTACTAGGCACCAGAAAATGTAAACACATTATAGAAATAAACCTGGATGACACAGTGGGGATGTTTAAATTATTGCACAGCAGAGAGACCCTGTCTGAGAGGATAGAAGCTCTGCTACAGCGGCGGGACTGACGTGTTCGACTGCACGCTTTTGTTTCGGTCAAAACGAGCTGGCTAAAATGACAATTCCTTCCACGAGCCCTTTTCTATTGACCCCAACCCCCTATTTCCCGTTAGCTATCGCAGCTGTACAGTCGTCCAGGTTTATTTGTCTTTCACTCACTGTGCTTCTCTGTAACGCACACATTAAAACATCACAGTAAAGATGGAGTTTGTCATGGGGCTACACAGATGCGGTGGGATGAGAAGCCAGAGAGAGGGGGCGAGGGGTTTGTCTATCTCATGATTACATTACATTACATGTGTCTATACAATATCTGCTACAGGGTTCTGGGACATGGGGCTACAGAAGATAGGAAAAGGAAGGGGATGTCACAAATATGATAGCCATACCTCTGTCTTTTAAATACTATGACTCACTATTTGGTAAAGATATATTAGAAGCCTATATAATTGGTCCAGCAGCTTTCTTGTAGCTGATATGTGATTTGAAACCCCCCCCCCCCCCAAAAAAAAAAAAAAAAAAAAATATATATATATATATATATATATATATATAGAAGAAAAGAAATTGCAAATAAGACGGTCAAAGCTGCCAGTCTCTTACACGCCAAACTCGCTCACTTGATCAATACACAGAGGGGAGGTTGAATCAATGCTCTCCAGAGTAGTAATAGTTGGAAAGAGAAAGGGGGGGAAAAAAATGACAGTTCATGAATAAAACTCGGTGCGAGTGGTGGTGGAGGAGGACAGGAGAGATGGAGGGATGTGGTGCCCCTTGTCCTCCATCGTCCCTCATTCATTTACTTCCAGAGCTGGGTGCTGAGGGTCTGACCAGATGGGGGTGCCACCCAGCCGCCCATGGGGGCACCAGGTGGCCCAAATGGCATTGGAGCACTGGAACCATTCAGGTTCATTCCAGACATCTGTTGGTTAATCTGAAAAAGACAAAGCAGAAACAGAGAAGGGTGGTACATCAATAAATACCAGACTTGTTAAAATAATTTGCGCTGGTGCAAAACCTACAGAGGATTTTAAGGCATCATGGACGACAGAAAAACCAACAGAAAAAGGTGTCTCCTAAAAATACCTAATTTCAGTTAAATTCTTTGCCAACATTACATGTGCCCTTTGCGGTAAAGGCAAGAATGCATTGAAATTAGTTCAAACTAAACTTTTTTGCTCACCAAGGCTGCATTTATTTGATCAAAAACACAGTAAAAACTGTAATATGGTGAAATATTCAGTGTCACATGATTTTTCAGAAATCATTCATCTGGGGCTCAAGAAACATTTCTTATTATCATCAATGCTGAAAACAGTTATGCTACCTAATATTTTTATGAAAGATTCTTTGATAAATTTCAATTTCAAATTGGTCTTTTACAAGATTGCATGTTAAGATGCGTCTATGAAGGTCTATACTCGATTTTGAAACAGAGATTTGTTATTAAAAGAGAAATAATTGTTGGGTTTTTACACAATCAGATCAGATATAAGATCAGTAATTTCACCTGAGGATTCACACCAGTTACATTTTCCTCTTTTCTTTTTAACAGGTTACTAAGCTGTCCTCTTATAAACTCAATCACCCCTCTTATTACTCTTCGTCTACTTCTCTCTCTTTCATTTTCTATACCTCTACCCTTTTCCCTTAACTTCCACCAGTATTCTTCCTGACTGGTCCTGTGGGGCAGCCCATCAGACACGTCTGTATGATTTATACTCCTGTCTCTACAGCTTCTAGCCAGCAGAGAGAGGAAAAAGTAATGGTTTCAAATAAGCAGTCACCTATTTTTCATTATTAACATGATTTCTGGGAACTAAACTTTGTGCAGTCTTTATCCAGCTGTCAAAATGGATATATAATAGAAAACAGGATTCTTCTTTCTTCGCAATAAGAGTTTGCTGTACTACGTTGACAATGGATATACAAAAACGACATGATCCACCAGTCACGCTGGTTGTCTGGCAAAAGCTAAAATAAATTACAATCTTTTATTACTCAACACTAATCTCTTCACAGAGAACTGTGGATGATAACAGGAACACAGCTCACAGTCACAGCACATGATCAGTGCAACAAGTCCGACAGTAATTGTCTTGAAATATGTCGGTCAATGCGCATCCATCTTTGTAATGTAGGCTACAAAATCTGCTTCAAAATCCCAGCGCTGTCGTCATCGTGTAAAGCCCGCCCCAACGTTTCTGATTGGTGCCTCGATTTCGACGGATTGGAAATGGGCTTGAATGAGCTCTTTGCCGGACTATCTTTCAGAGCAAATCTAAATATCTCACCGAACCTATATGTTTGAATGGTAGTAGATTAAAGGGAATACATATTGATTTGGTACAAAAAGGCCCAAAAAAAAAAAAAAAAGCTACTTTAAATAAACAGAAATAGAAGCACTTGCCTTTTCCCATACTATCTTGAAATACAGACATAATTCATCGGTCTCCTATTCGTGTTTAATTCCAAAGCACTAAACCCCTTCCTGAGGCGGTGAGGGAGGTTATCCATCACCGTGAACGCCTGGAGTGCTCTGATGTCTCACAAGGTGACTAAACCTCTTTAGGCCATGAAGTGCGGAGACTTCAGACGCCCCAACGCCTGTGAAGAGACGACTCAACGCCGGCGATATGTTATGCCCTTAATATTACACGATTAACTAAATGTATTTTTTCCATGTACTTTTCTGAAATGCACTTACTGTAAAGCTGCTTTGAAACAATATGTATGTTAGCCAGAGAAGAACTGGCCCCCGACTGAGCCTGGGTTCTCCCAAGGTTTTTTTCTCCATCCAATCACCTGATGGAGTTTTGGTTCCTTGCCACTGTTGCCTTGCTTTTGGCTTGCTTAGTTGGGCACATTTAATATTCAACAATATTATTGATCTGTGTTGTATTACTTTCATGTTATCACTGCGAAGCTGCTTTGATACAATCTGTATTGTAAAAAGCGCTACATAAATAAATGTGACTTGACTTGTATGACAAGAGTAAGATAGAGGGAAACATGTTTTAAAAAAAACATTTCCAAAATACTCAGGAGGACCCACTGTGGACCTAGACTTCATTTAACAGAAAATGTGGCCAATCTCATAATTAAACCAGCTTCCTCCACAACACAATACTGCATACACACAGAGAAATAAGTGTGCCATTAGAGTGTGTGTTTGTAAATACTCCAAGAGCCGTATTAAAGGGAGTGAATATCAAGCACTAATGATTCTTCTCCTCCCTGTGCACTGGCTCTCCTCAGAAAAGAAGGAGACGCTCTGTGTGCTTGCTGGGTAACAAAGAAAAACATTTCAAGACCGATCCATCTCAGAAAAAAAAACACTCCTCCTAGGAACAGTGCGGCAAAATTACCCTCACTCCAAAAAACCATTAAGCAGACGCATTTCTTTCCTCAGCCGGTCTCTCAAAATACAAATGTGCTGCTGAAGGCCTATAACTCAGGACGCACACACTTGCATTGTGGGGAGGGATTTTAATTAAGGCCGTGTGAGTGCAAGGCACACTATATTGATTTATGATGTGTAATTAACCTCCCGGAGGCTGAAATCTCGGACTCCCTTCGCTCACAGCCTCATACACAGGGGGTCATGGGCCACGGGAGGCAGGGAGATGATAGAAGATGAGAGGTCGGAGTCACTGAGCCCTTGTCTTTAATAAGGCCATATGCAGATGGGAGGTGACAACAGATTAGATAGACTTTAAAACCCCTTATGATGAATCTCTGATTATACATTGAGTGCGACCGAGAGAGACTGAATGTGACAACTCGCTTTTCACCTAAAATGGCTTTGAAAATGTGAAAAATCTGATCTGAATAAAAAGGAAAGCTCTGTGGTTACCGGGAGATGCATTGTGGGAATCGAATATGATGAATGGTAATAGCTTCAGATTTAGATGTTCTCTCTATAAAAAGCAGATACTGATCCACTGCAGCCATTGCGTCATATCAATGACTCATGGCAGATTCTGAGAAGACTGGTAAAAAAAATACAACCCCAGAAGAACATTATGAACTCACCTCTTGAAGCTCTTGACCTCCGGCATGCGAGTACATAACAGTATTTAATGATCACGTTTCTCAGGTCCCCTGTTTTTCACTAACAACATTTTTTTTTGGTTCTGTTCATCTCAAATTTCCACTGTGAACTCATGTTTACATATGAAATGAGATCTGGCTGGCTATATAATGAAATGCAGAAAAAGGATCAGGGCATTTCTCAGATCTCAGATGAGCCCGTGAATGCCAAGTCGCAGAGACATAATCTGCAAATAATGAAATTCATGCATTTCATAATGTCGGGTAAAGGATTTTCCTCTTTGTTCTAGAACATTTGATGGTTTGCATTGATAATTTTTCAATTGATTATGAAATTGCAATAATACATTTACCTGACATAATAAATTGTTATACTTGATTATTCTAACAGACTTTAACTTAAAGGAACAGTCAAACATTCATGTAGATGTAATGATGCACAACTATCATTGAAAAACTTTAATACATAAGTTAAAATGTATTGCATTTAATTAAAAATCCCTTTGCCACGAGAAAATACGGAACAGGCGTGAGATCTTTACCTCTAATCGAATACCGCCATTGGATTGAATTAGACGGCCTTACAACACTAATTTCACTGTAGGGACATTTTATTTGTAGTAAATTTCTTACAGCAGCATAACATACCTGTGCCATATTCCACTGTCCTTGCTGACCTGGCTGCATGGCATACATGTTTTGAGGGGCCACCATGCCCTGAGGTCCCATCATGCCTGGAGCCAAGCCCATCACCCCCGGCTGTGCGTTGCCCATGAAACCGTTAGGCATCGTCATGCCAACCATCATGCCCGTATTCTGGCCCATCATCGCGCCACCCTGGCCCATGACAGCCCCCATCATGGTAGTAGGCGGCATGGCTCCTCCCATCCCGGGGAAAGCCTGGAAGTTCCCCTGTGGCTGCGCAGGGAACTGCATCTGAGACGGGCCCATGAACATCGCCGTCGCTGTGGGAGCAGAATTGTGCAAAGGTACACAAATAAGATTTATACACAACGCCATGTTCAGTACGTTCAATGAGACAAAAACATGAGCAGACCTGAGGACACGGACACACTAAGCATCACAGGCAGAGGAGAGCATTCAATATCTCTGCTAATGTGCGCAGTTTCTTGCCCTACGTACAGAGGAAATGGATCTTTGAGACAAGAGAGGTGTGCAGGATGAAAGGGGACATATAAAAGCATCCTGACAGTGGAGTCTTCATTTTGAGCATTTTGAGGTTTTGGGAAATGTCCTCTTTGAAGAGCAGGGCAGGAGAAGCAAGTAGCATTAAATCTCGTTCAGCAGTATCAGAGTGCTGAGACACACAGTGCTTGAATTATTGATACTCCCATTAAAGCAAGGCTTCTCGAGAACCTCGCTTGCTTTCTCTTTCTCTCAAACACACACACTCCCACTGCACCATTAGAAATGGACTCTAGACGCAAAGCGCCATTTATAGATCAGCCTTTTCTCGCTCAGATCACTCACTCTCTGAGGAATAAGAAAGTGGGACTTTGGGCAGATGGATGTACCTTGTGCAGGCTGTTGTGGGACGGTGCTGGAGCCATACAGGGAGAGAATGGAGTCCTTGGAGAGAGGTTTCTTGGCCGCTTCCTCTGCTTTGCTGCTCCCGCTGGTTTCGCTGAACAGGTCCAGATCTCCCTGTGCTGGAGCAGAACTTCCAGTGGCCGTCGCACCTGCCACAGCCCCTCCGGCAGAGCTGGCTTGAACACTCCCAGCTGCCTTACTGGAACTGACCTGCAGAGCACAGGAGACGGTTGACTTAAAGCCACATAAGACTCTCAACACCTGTTAATGCACTCTCAAAACATTATTTCCTCATAAATCGACTAACTCATTAGCAATCACACACACGCATGGATATACTGTATGTGGGCCTAAAAATCATGAGCCAAATGAGGCATCTCTACAGACTTTCCGGTCTAAATGATCAGAAACCTGTGCCAAATCAACTGGATACAGCTCCAAACATCCACAGAAGAAATACCACGAACAGAAAAGTACCAAAAAATGATCATATCCATGCAGATGTTGGGAAGCATGGGCCATTTAAGCTCTGCTTATTAAGTAGCTTAGGCTGGGATCAAAAGTGGATTAAGTTGCTGTCAGAGTACCAGAAAAGGTGCGGTCACATTAGCAAAAATTTGTAGCCAAAAAGGTTCATTCTAAATGGTGTAGCAATGTATAAAGCACAGCTTACAGTTTGAAAGTCACTTTCAAACCAAGCAGCGTTCTGTAGAAATCGTACGATCTAAAATTATCAATCATATGGATTCCTATTGAAATGCCAGCATTTTGCCTGCAAAAATTTGCTGAACAATGGTTCTTAAGGAACCGAGAGAGTCAAAAGATGGCAAATAATCAAATCAAAGTTGGTTAAAAATATCAATCCTGTAGAAACTCAGAGGAGAGAAGACATGAATACACACACACAAAGATGAAAGAAAGGCTTCATCATCTTCAAGCAGAGAAATGACATTAATTAGACTGCAGCTGTGATGAATGAATAGCTCAGGAAGAAGAGACAAAATTCACCGTTTACGCAAAGTTACAGCGCACACAAATAGCAAAAGATGGAGGAGACAATCAGTAAGAGGCAGTTTGTGTTCAGTCAAAGCACCTGCATCCTTTTACTCAATTACAGTCGCGCGACGCTAGACTAGCAGCCACAAAGCTGCAGATGGTACGGCTGATGCCATGGTTACCCTCCAAAAAAGCAAGTCTGTCAATGTGAAACCGAGAAAATTCTAGGACCGAATCCTAGTTCATATGTTCAGGAAAGTCAGCATGCTGACAAGTAACTGACTGACTCTGGTGGCACATGGCTGCAGAAACTAAACAGTGGCCCAAGGTCATGTTCAGTGATGTGCGAGACCTGGGCGAGCCCTGCTGAGATTTGGCACAGGCGCCATTCCATTCCTGATTAAGAACCAGGAGGACATCACACTATTTAAACAGGACTGAGGTGCGCTATGCTAGCAACACACCATGCTACTGTATATATATTATCCATGCCAGATTCTGAATCCTAGTGTCTTTGTCTTTTGGCTGCAAGGGTATTTATATGCTTGTGATAAATATAATATTAGATTTTTTATATACAAATATACACAATTGTCTTCCAAATGCACTACCTTTTAAAAGTTTGGGTACATTTTAGTTCTTTTTTTTAAATTTTTGAAAGAAATAATTTTACTCAGAAAGAATGCATTAAACTGATAGTAAAGACATTTATAATGTTACAAAATATTTCTATTTCAAATAAATGGTATTCTTTTGAATTTACTCTTGATCAAAGAGTCCTTGAAGAGAGGTTTCTCTTGGTCAGAAAGAAAAACGTTTCAATAAAAATATTAGGCAGTACAATATTAGGTTTTCAACATGTATAATAATAAGAAATGTTTCTTGAGCACCAAATCAGCATATTAGAATGATTTTTTAAAGATCATGTGATACTGAAGACTTTTACATTTGAAAATATATTAAAATAGAATCTATACAATAGAACTAATAATATTTCATAATGTTACTGTTTATAATGTATTTGTATCATCAAATAAAAGCAGCTTTGGTGAGCACAAGAGACTATTAACAAAAAAACAAAAAAATGTTAAAGGAAAGAAACTGAACTGCCAAACGACTTCACAGGGTCTTTTAAGCACTGGAGCTAATTATAACATTTCACCCTCCATAGAGAGAGAAAGAAAAAAGCAGAGAGAGGGAGAGAAAAAAACAGAGGGAAGAATGTGCCACATCATTTGAATTCAAATTGAGCGAAAACAAATAGATGTGTATCTATCAATCGATCGATTTTCCCCACAAAAAAAAAAAATCACCCCACTCTAGTATCATTAAGTGGAAAACATGCTTACTCAGATGGCAGATATCGAACAGGCCATTCTTTGAAGTTCACTGCTGAAGAACGTGCCTGACATGAGCTCATAAATAACTAAACGAAAAGAGTGTATTCAGAGACAGTCTCCGCTCTCCTGCTGTCTATCCATCAGTGTCCCGGAGCTCTGGGCACAGATATGTTCCACAGTAATCAGAGACAAAAAGGCAGGGCTGGGAGGATGGGGTGGAGGTTGGCAGGCCAGGGGCACATGCAGACGCTCTCTTCCCATTTAGATGAGTCGACGATACACAACTCTGCGGTTGGGTATGTGAGAGGAACACCTCCAGCTGCTGCCTGCGCCAGTCGCCACATCTGATAAGAGCCGAGCAGAGCTGAACACGGGTGAACAGCACTGCGGCACGATAAGCCAAACACCGCCTCGCAGATCTGATACGCAAACCCCTCGGCTGATTAACCTGTGAAGGCTGATGCTAACAAATGCTTGCCACAGTCTATAATGGGTTCATGATTTGATATGCACGGCAGAAAAGAGACAAGGAAGAAAGAAATCCCACAAACTCTAGTCTCAAGACCTCAGCAACAAGCAAGAACACACATATTTGGCAGGAGTGAGCTTTTTTTCAGGCCACATTATGAAAAAGATGACATAAGCCCCTTTTCTCTATTTGTAATACGAGTGACATTTGAAGGGATCCATCGGGGGGGTCCGCAGAGGGACACAGGAAAGGCTATTAGAATTAAATATAGATGAAGAGGGGGAGGACAGGAGACCAACACTCCAGGATTCAGAGAGAGGAGCAGATATTTTCTCTACGCTGTATGGATGAGAGGGAGAAACAAAACTTTTTTTTCCCTCACATGCACATCTTTAGTTTATTGTGATGGGATGCTCACATGAATGTGCATCTCAAAAGCATGCAACAAATATTGCAATGCTTCCATCTTCTCTATATATATCCACACAACACATTAACGCTAGGGCTGTGTCACTATAATATTGTATTGATAGAACGAGCAACAGAATAGTAGAACAAATGATAGATGGACAGAACAATAGATGTAAGGGCAAACAGAACATTAAATAGGTTGAGCAAACAACAGTACAATAAATAGAACAATAGATAGATAGATAGATAGATAGATAGATAGATAGATAGATAGATAGATAGATAGATAGATAGATAGAACGACATAACATTAGATAGGTAGAACGAACAGAACGTTAGATAGGAAGGGCAAACGACTGAATGATAGAAAGATGGAACAGAACGATAGGTAGAATGAACGACGGAACGCTAGATACTGTAGGAAGAAGGAATGACAGAACGCTAGATAGGTAGAAGGAATGACAGAACACTAGATAGGTAGAAGGAATGACAGAACGCTACAGTAGATAGGTAGAAGGAATGACAGAACGCTAGATAGGTAGCGCAAACAACAGAACATTAGATAGGTAAAGCAAACAACAGAACTATAGATAGGACAATAGAACATTAGACGGGTAGAAGAAACGACAGAACGTTAGAATGAACGACAGAACATTAGATGGGTAGAAGAAACGACAGAACGTTAGAAGGAATGTTAGAATGAACGACAAAACATTTGAATTAACAACAGAACATTCGAATAAACGATAGAACGTTAGAAAGAATGCCAGAACATTAGAAGTAGGCTGCAACTAACGATTATTTTAATGATCGATTAATCTGTCGATTATTTTTTCGATTAATCGAATACAAAAACTGGAAATAAAAAAGCATTAATTTATGCAAAAACAGAATGGACAGTGCAATTTCATAGTGCAAAAAAAAAATCTTCGCAGACACACTCGGCCTCTTTCGTGCACTGTCGCTCGCGTATCTTTCGAGCACTGTCGCTCACATGCACGCAGACACACACGGTCTCTCTCGTGCACTGCCGCTCGTATGCGCAGACACACTGTCTCTTTCGTGCACTGCCGCTCGTGTGCGCAGACACACTCTGTCTCTTTCGTGCACTGCCGCTCGTGTGCGCAGACACACTCTGTCTCTTTCGTGCACTGCCGCTCGTGTGCGCAGACACACTCTGTCTCTTTCGTGCACTGCCGCTCGTGTGCGCAGACACACTGTCTCTTTCGTGCACTGCCGCTCGTGTGCGCAGACACACTCTGTCTCTTTCGTGCACTGTCACCCACGTGTGCGCAGACACACTCTGTCTCTCTCGTGCACTGCCGCTCGTGTGCGCAGACACACTCGGTCTCTTTCGAGCATCGTCACTCGCGTGCGTGCAGACACACACGGTCTCTTTCGTGGACTGTCACCCACGTGTGCGCAGACACACTCTGTCTCTCTCGTGCACTGCCGCTCGTGTGCGCAGACACACTCGGTCTCTTTCGTGCACTGCCACCCACGTGTGCGCAGACACACTCGTTCTCTTTCGTACACTGCCGCTCGCGTGCACGCAGACACGCTCTTGTCTCTTCCGTGCACTGCCGCTTGCATGCACGCAGACACACTCGGCTTCTTTCGTGCACTGTTGCTCGCGTGCGCGCAGACACACACGGTCTCTTTCGTGCACTGCCACCCACGTGTGCGCAGACACAATCGTTCTCTTTCGTGCACTGTCGCCCGCGTTCGCGCAGACACACACTTGTCTCTTCCGTGCAATGCCGCCCGCATGCACGCAGACACACTTGGCTTCTTTCGTGCACTGTCGCTCGCGTGCGCGCAGACATGCACAGTCTGTTTCGTGCACTGTCGCGCGCAGACACACTGTCTCTTTTGTGCACTGTCGCTCGTGGTCTCTTTCGTTTCGTCTTCTCTTGCGTTAGAAAGAATGACAGAATGTTAGAAGGAACGACATTGAATAGCACTGTATTGAATAGTGACGTACCGTGTATTAA